ATGGATTGATGATGGATTGAAGATTTGCAAATTAACGATTTACGATATGGTTTTCCTATTTTACTGAGTAACTCTGTAATTTTCGTTAAATAGAATTCGGTTGCCCTCACCTGTGTTCTCCTTCACTACAGTACATTTCATACTTTTTTATAAATTGTAGAATTTTAAAAAAAGAACTGATGGAAATTACAACTAGTATTTATCTAATTATTATTATTTTTTCTCAAGGGTTATTTACATTGTGCAGGACCAAAGGGCATAAAAGGTTTACCAGGTTTTCCTGGATTAAAAGGACTTCCTGGTGAAATTGGTCGAGAAGGACCTTCTGGTACAGATGGTGAGAAAGGTAATACTGGTATAAAAGGAGATCGTGGTTTATCTGGTCGAGGATGTACTGATGGTCAACCTGGTCTTCCTGGTCCGAAAGGAAATATGGGTAAGTAAGAAAAGTTGGCCCCCCTTATTGAGTATAAATCGTTTGTTATCTATCCTTCGGTGATATGATTTATACATTCTAATTTCATGTTAGAACCAAGCTTTTCTTAAGTGATATTGACAAATCGTTAAACTTGCATTACGGGGTTGTAAAGATTGTTAAGTTACACAATTTTGAAACCATGAATCGATCAATGTTAGACCACCATTAGAAACCTAGAAGCACTGGACGGCCGATTCGTCCTGGGATGGGACTCCTCAGCAGTGCGCATCCACGACTCCTGCACCCCGCAAGATTCGGACCCAGGACCTTCGGTATTGTAGGCGAACTCCTAACCATCGGACTACTGAGCCGGTATCTAACGGTGTCATTGTCTAACTTGATCAATTCACGGCGTTGCGCAACCTCATACACAGTCTTCGGTGAGCACAGCTTCACACCCGAACAAGTTGAACTTCACTGGTCACCTCTTCCCACTAGAACTTGGAGAAGATTCCTCACGAAGCTAGTCACTAGTGAGCACAGGTAATTTGCATCGTCAAACCGTTAGTTTGTCTGAATTCAAATATCAATTCAATAACACTCGATTCTTAATAAAAATAAAACAACAGAAATCTTTGATACCCTATAAATTTCTACTCTCAATCAACTTGAAAAAAATCAGTTGACCAGTTTATTGTTTTTTTACCTACAATAATTTAATATCAAGTTGTAGGAAAATTATGAAAACTCTTTATAGACTTCTTCTTTAATTAACAATTACTTTCTTATAACTAGTTGCTCGAAACAAAAAAAAATAATTTCGATCATTGGTCATTCAACCTAATGAGGTTGTGTTTATAATATGTCTCAGAACAAGTCTTAATTTAACTGGTAATAATGAATGAAATTAGCAAATTTGCTTTAATCCAGAAAAAATAATCACATTTATTTCATTCTTTTTTCAAGGAAGTCCCGGTATCCGTGGTCCATCAGGAACTACCGGCCTACCAGGAAGTGTCGGATTGCGTGGACAACCTGGTGATGTACCTGATATAGCTTTACCAGGTCCAAGTGGAAATCCTGGAGCTCCAGGTTCATTTGGCATGAAAGGATTACCTGGTGATTTTGGAGATCCTGGAGAAAAAGGCTTCCCAGGGAGTGGGGAACGTGGTCCAGCTGGACCTCGTGGACCTCCTGGAGATCCTGGTCTAGTTGGTAGACCTGGAAGAGAAGGACGTCCTGGTATAAGAGGTCCAAAAGGTAAGTCATGAATAATATTTTAATAATTATAAATCTCTATCTGAAACAGTCAAATATATTAATTTTTTCGATCTATACTAAGTACAGTATAGATAAGATTTGATATCTGAATTTTTTTGCTTCAGACTTCAGAATGATATTCGATGAATGACGTGTAAAACATAATAAACATGAACATAATTTAAAATTAGAAATATATAATTTAAGCTTTTAAAACTGTGTACTATTTGATTAAAATAAGATTAACAAAGAATTACACCCTTTCATGTTTAAAAAGAATTTTGGAATATTGGTAATATTGTAGTGAAGGAGAACACCGGTGAGGGCAACCGAATTGTATTTATCGCAAATTACAGAGTTAATTGGTAAATTAGGAAAACCATATCGTAAACCGTTAATTCGCAAATTTTCAATCTAATCCATCATCAATCCATTGTCTGACATTTCACTCACTATTCATGCGTTTCATACAAATTCCATTATGTTCCCACTCTTCTTCCTTTCTCTTGATCTTCTCCCATCTTCTGCTGCCAGACATTACGTTTTTACTCGCGTCATATACTACTTATAAGTAGCGCGCACCTCAATATTTGCAGGATTTCATGACATTTGAACGCATCTCTATCTTAGATTTTTTACATTACCTATTTCGTGAACTTTAAGATGAATCTGACAATCAAAACGATGAAAGTGTTTGCCATTACGAGAATTGATTCGTTCAAGTATTCATTTTTATATTTTAAAAAAACAATTTCCATCTTAGTGACCTCTTGTATTTGAAAATCTACATTTTAAATTGGTTTGCTTGGAAAAATGTACCTCATTAAAACACAATAAGTTTTTAACTGTTATATTTATCGAATGAGAACTATCTGTTTGAATAACATATGATAAAATCAATATTGAATTAGTGAATACTTTACTTTTTAACGATTGTTCATTTTATATTCTTTTTTCGAAAAAAATCAAAGGTGTTAGTGTGGCAACATGTTTATTCTGTGAAGATGGTGAGTTGGGACGCCCAGGAGATGTTGGTGAAGTAGGTGATAGTGGTTTACCTGGTCGTCCAGGTGCAAATGGTCCTGATGGTGAACTTGGAGAGATTGGTGATCCAGGTCGCCCTGGTTTACCTGGTCCACCAGGAAGAAAGGTTTGTTAAGTACTCTGTATATAAATGTATATATATATATATATATATATATATATATATATATATATATATATATATATATATATATATATATATATATATATATATATATATAATGCTTGCAGTATTGACTACCGAATGCCTAACTGATTTTTTTACTTGATACTGAAAACCCTGAATTTGACACCGTTTACTGAAGAAAAAATTTTACTGATATAGATTTATCTGACTAAAGAAATTAATCAAAATGATGTATGAACATACCACCACTGTGGTGGTATTTCGTTTTTCTAAGCTGAATGTTGTGGTTCTGGAGCTTTCATTATTCTTCTACTGAACAACATCATCAGTACAAACTTGAGATAGAAGTGAAGTATTAGAATTTCTTCACGTTTGACCCGTAGCATGTTGTTATTTGCCTTAAGCTTGTCGTTGTTTGCACTTTTGCTAATGCACAACAGTAACCAATCAAGATCGAGGTTAACAGAACAAGCTACAAGTAAAACGTGAAGAAATCTGAATAATTCACTTCTGCTATCTGAAGTTTTCTGTTGATAATGTTGTTGTTCAGAAGAACAATCAAAACTCCACAACAAAAAACATCCAGCTCAGAGAATGAAACACCCACCATTTGAACTACAAATTTTCTCCACCATCTCATGAACATACCATACCACTTTTGATATGAATCACTTACGGTCATATTATAATGGATGGAACTAAGTAAGAGTGAACATCAATTAACTACTAACTTACTAATGTGAACGCAATTACATTATCATAAAACTAAGCCTATATAACCAAATAGCTATAACTAATTTACTAAGTCATGTATTTACTTTTTCAAGATATGATTACATGTCACAGTTTTATATATCATTCACACGGCAGTCAATGTATACATAAACAAGCACTTTTTCCAGGTTTGGACCATATTCCACAGTCAATACGATATTATTATCCTTCATAAATTAGATTCCTGTTACAGTACACTTGTGGTGCGCGCTACTTATAAGTAGTATATGACGCGAGTGTAAACGTAATGTCTGGCAGCAGAAGATGGGGGAAGATCAAGAAAGGAAGAGTGGGGAACACAATGGAATTTGTATTAAACACATGAATAGTGAAATGTCAGACAATGGATTGATGATGGATTGGATTGAAGATTTGCAAATTAATCGTTTACGATATGGTTTTCCTATTTTACTGATTAGCTCTGTAATTTTCGATAATAAATAAATGAATAAAATTGACCTGTTGTTTGTGAAAGTGTTCACGTACTAAACCTCCATATCCCTCTGCTTGTCATTCAGTCTTGTTATTACTTATTACGAAGACATTCTATATGATACATCTAATTTTGGACTTTTTTATTTTTATAGGGTATAGCAGGATTTCCAGGTCAAATTGGTTTTAAAGGAGATCCGGGTGAAGTTGGAATTCTAAGAATTACCAATCAACAAGTAGTACCAGGTGATCCAGGTAACAGCGGTTTCCCTGGAGCTAAAGGAGAACCGGGTGACTTTGGTGATCCAGGTTCATTTGGTGCTCGTGGAGAGTTTGGATCCAAAGGCCGTATGGTAATTTAAAACAATACAATACATGAATATTTTTGCTCACACAGATTTTACATGTCTTGTCATGCATTTTGCCCCCACATAGATATTGATCTACAGGAATGAAATAAATTTCAAAGCGAAATTCATCATAAATACTCTGAAACACAGATATTCTGATGTTTGAATTTTTTTCATTTATCCTCTTAAACAAAGAAGTGCTATGTTAAAAGTACGCATTTGTACTACTGTTCTTAACTGCAAGGATAATCAATGAAACGTTATATGATTTACATTGTTATGCCGTAAAGTATTAGGAAATTTAACTATTATATTTAGACATTTTTGAAACCATGAATCGATCAATGTTAGACCACCATTAGAAAGCTGGAAGCACTGGACGGCCATTTCGTCCTGGTATGGGACTCCTCAGTGGCAGTGCGCATCCACGACTCCTGCACTCCGCAGGACTCGAACACAGAACCCTCGGTGTTGTGCGCGAGGGCCCTAACCGTTAGACCAGTGAGCCGGTATCCAACGGTGTTAATTTAGACTGTTAACTTTAAATTATAACATTCAATAAAGTATTAAATATGATATGTTTATTGATATTCAGGGTCTTCCAGGCACAGCTGGTATACCAGGACCTGAAGGTGATGTTGGAGACAGAGGCTTTCCAGGTGATCCAGGATTAGATGGTAGAGCATTTGTCGGTGAAACTGGAGATCCAGGAGAATCTGGATATCCTGGACTACCTGGTTCTAAAGGTATACGAGGAGCTAAAGGTTATTGTGAAGGAATTCAACCACAGTTAACTAAAGGTAAGTTAATGTTTAGCATATATAATTTTTCAATAAATGCTTTTCCACAAGTTTTCACCACACAACTATGAATGTAATGTTACTTTTTAAACTACTCAAATTCTACTTTCATTTGTTTTACTATATTACTAAAAAAATTATGATTTATTCTCTAGGCGTCTCAGGTGATCGCGGTTTCCCCGGTGATCCTGGCCCCCATGGTGAACAAGGCTCACAAGGGAGAAGTGGAATAAAAGGTAACTATCATTGTAGTTTTGGTAGGCAGACTTCTTATTCATACTTTAGCCTTCAGTTACGAAAAAATATTTACTTGTCACTAAAATTTTGAAAACATTCTTGTCATATTTATTTTTACTGGCTTTTTTTACTCATAATTTATATTTCATTTATATTTACGCTAGGTACTACTGGACTGCCTGGAGCTCGGGGGATTCCTGGAGATGATGGTCTTCCAGGAGTGTCTGGTTTTAAGGGTGAACGAGGTTTCCCTGGACGAATGGGATCACCTGGTTTTCCAGGTTCAGTCGGTAATAGTGGTGTAGATGGTACGCGGGGTGAACCCGGATTCCAAGGACCTCCAGGTCCCAAAGGTCAGAGAGGTAAGATATGCAGGAATTACTAATACTGTATTTTCATCATTGTTACTTACTTGTAATCGTTGCTAGGTGCAGAGCATTAGATGACGTTCATTGTAATGCCCTCTTTATTTGTGTCTGGAGGATGCTTTGATGATCCTAGGTGCATGAGACTCCCATGCTATAAGTGCCTTTTGTGCTTGTTCGAGCAGCATCAGTGAGACTCCTTATTTGTGTGAGACATTTTCTTCTTCATGGCTGGAGTACAACAGCAGCTCTCATGAAGCTATTCTCAGTTGTCCAACTTCTGTCCACTGTGTTTCACTAATTCCAAGCACCTCCAGGTTGTATCTTTTCATTTCTGCAGCAATTTTGAACAGTCTTTCAGTCTCCCACATTGTTCAAACATTCCATGTGTCTAAAAGAATGGATGCTCTGGTTTTCAGAAGAGGCATCGGCCTCATGACTTCCGAAAAAACTCGGCTTTCAGCATGAGACGTCACACCTCTTCTGAAAGAAGACCTTCTAACTGCCAGGGCAGAGTGAAAATTGTTTGAATTATGTTTTCTGGTTAGCGTTTTTCCAGTAAGTTAGTTTTCTATTGTATGGGGTGGCCAACCCCATGCCCGACCGGGTTTATAACCGGCAGTAGCCCCAGAAAGGCTCCAGACGCAGTTATTTTCATCATTGTGATGAATTGTACTTTGTGAAGTCTAACATATCTGATTCACAGTCCCATAAGAACATAGTATTAATTACTGAAAAAATTCTTTTCACTATAGAACACAATAGAAGATCATGTAACTATTCTGTTTTACTTTTGATCTTATAAACTTCGAAATAACCATAGAAATCAAACACCATCATTTAAACAAAAAATTAAGATCACTAATAAATTACCTAGTTAAACTCATTCATTGATGAATGTGATACTTTTAACTTACAAACAGAATGTAACATATAGTAACAGGATCAAACTTTGCTCACAAATAATCTAAATCCTTCTAGTTCATCTTGGGTTTAGAATAATATTTCTAACATATATTATAATATACACTCAAAGTATGTTGGACTGAGTTTAACATTATCTATTTTATTAAACAGATTTTATAATTCACACAATCAAAAAAGCCATTACATAACCTTGAAATGAAAGTATATCATACTTATTGTAGATTAGAGTTTACTTGTCGTTTTTCATTCAATCCTCACTAACATCAAACCTAGCATAGATATATATCGATATATGAATCGATCAATCTTCGACCACCTGTTCGGATGTATACAGGGTATGAGGTTGCGCAACTCCGTGAATTTGATCAAGTTAGACATTAACACCTTTAGATACCGGCTCAGTGGTCTAACGGTTAGGGCGTTCGCGCACAATACTGAAGGTCCTGGGTTCGGGTCCTGTGGGGTGCAGGAGTCGTGGATGCGCACCGCTGATGAGTCCCATCCCAGGACGAAACAAGTTACCATACCGAATCGGCACAACGAAATGAAATTAACGAGGGGAATAGTAAATTTGGTTAAAATAATGTACTAACAATAATGATGAGGAAGACTATAAGCATTCAGAATGTCGTTCAGAAAGATAGAGTCAAGTTATTGTATGATTAAATAAATTAACTATTCAAAATTCAATATGAAATTGAGGATTACAGTGAAAAATGTAAAATTAAGATGTGATCATAGGCTAAACATAATTAAGATTGCAAATTTGTCATCACTAGCGAGTACCAACCGATGAGAAATCTGTAGGGTTCGTCACTTAGTATGCTTGAGGCTATTAGGAGTTTACCGCAGTCGATAAACGCGAACGAGACTTTTACCAGCGTCCAGGTAGGCTACCTTGAATCCGAGGCTGAAGTAAAAAGGCTTTGTAAGTGTAGAAAGTATATTCTACAAACACCAACCAATCACTGTACAATCAAGCATACAACTCTCGTTTATTTATACAACATAGAAACGTCCTTGAGACAGTTATGAAAATAGCACACTAAAATACACAGCAGCCAATCACAGCCATGGATTTTCCTGGTGGGAAATGAAATCTTAAGGTCAACTGATCAGCCCATGCTGGCAAACGTGAAAACCAAAATAAGGCATTTATCAAGCGAATTTTGGGGATCTAACATCCCCAACAAAATCTGAAGTAAACTTCTCGAATAATAATGAATATTAGTAATCCACTTGAACAAAATAATTGTTCAATAAAAGAAAGCACTTTTTTTCATAATAATGTGAAAATTTTTGAAAGTGTAATGGCATTGTATATTTCATTTTTAAATCTTACTATTATTTTTTTTATTTCATTCAATCTGTCAGGTATAATTGGAGAACAAGGAGATATTGGTAGAGTTTCTTATGCAAGTAAAGGTACAAAAGGTCTACCAGGCGTTCCTGGATCTATCGGTCCACTTGGTAATGAGGGTGTGCCTGGGTTAAAAGGTTTTCCCGGTAGACCAGGTAGGTTAATCATCATAGGAAGTAATTCACTGAAGTACTTATTTTAAAAAAAATAATTTTTTTAACTTGTAAACCTAATAATTCTTTGTTTGCCAAGTTCTAGAGTTGTTATACGATAGTAACACTAGACCGAATAGGCGAGTGATATATGTATGAGTCATTCAGTCAGTAATAACGTAGAACTTCGTACGTATGTACATCAGTTCAAGTTGTCAGACCATATTAGCACAGAGATACAATGGTCGATTGAAATCCTACAGTCGTAGAGGTAGTAGAAGTATGAGCAGTAGTCGGAAAAATTAGGCTTCGAAGTTATTTATTATTCAAGGAGTATAAGTAAGTAAAATAAATTTTAGAAAAGAATGATGAAGGTCATGAGGAATTCAGACTAGATTTTGGGTAAACGTGCGCCATTCCAAACAATTTGGAGCCATGTCATTCAAGGTGTCTAGCCATCGGTTACTATCATCTTGCGGACCCTAACCAAGTATTAATACATTATACACAAACCGGGCCGCGTTATGTAAATGCTCTATCATTTACATGGACTAAAATGCATACGATTTTCCAAATAACCAATATGCAACACGAAGGAGGAAACTGCTAATCTATGCTTGAAGGACGGCCTGCTACTAACTTGCTCTAATAGAAGAGAAATAACAAAGATCAGTGACCACCAGTCAGACATTCTTTTGTATACATAGTCTAGTTAACTGATAATTTTACTGTTACATAATATACATCAATAGTCCATAATTTAGTTCTTATTTAATTCCATCTCCATCAGAACATGACAGCCAGATATAAGATTTACGACCAAATAGAAGAAACTAGAGTGTAAATCAACAACACCCTGCCCAGGACACTCAATGAATCTCTAGAGTAGAAATCAATCATAAGAAAGAAAACATAAATTAAGTGAATATTTATTTATATATCCGCGCCTAATGGTCAGTCACTAGCTATACATCATATTTTCAACATACATCCTGTTTCATTTTATCTGTTCTTCTTTTTTCTTGAATAAAAACAAAGGGTCAAGAGGTGTGGATGGCTCGTTTGGTCCAAAAGGATATCCAGGTTTGAAAGGTTCACGAGGTAGTAAAGGTTTACCAAGTGTCAGTAGAGAAATAGGTGCAATCGGGATGAAAGGCAGACCTGGTATACCTGGTAAGTATGAATTTGGAATAATGTTCAATTTTTCCTTTTAAAAAAAGGTGTTTATGTCACAATTCGATGTTTAAATTCTAAATAGATTTAAAAAGTCTAACAACTCTGAGTATGAAATCCAGTTGAATAGCATAATTGTTTCAGTTTGGGGTACATTCTTGAAATTTGAAAAAATAACACTTCTTTATTTGAACAGAGAAATGAGAAGACATATTTTGTGAGATAGTACCATTTCGTGCTTTCTCGTCAGTCACATACTACAAGCAACATGTTATTTGTGTTAATTCAGTTTTGAAGATAAGGTCAAAATTTCTTATTTAGCATGACATTCACTCACTACAACCATGGTAAACAAAGGTCAACCAACATACAGTTGTTTTTGAACACATAAAGTTGAGTTGGTCTTTTCCGACCAATCAAGATAGCTTCGAGCATTTTCAGTGTGTGTATGGGTTTTGATGACATGTCACAACTCTAAAGGCTGATTTTGGGTCAATTTGATGACCACTCATCATTAAATGTTTTGCAATGGACGAGGCTGGGTTTCTTGATCGATTTTGAGATGACGGGCTAGGTTGATGAATCATGGATTTGATTAACGATTTTGGAATATGTTCCTCTATCCTGTCTTCCAATCGGCAATCTGTCCTCCTTAACTGTATTTACACAAATAACATGTTGCTTGTAGTATGTGACTGACGAGAAAGCACCAAATGGTACTATCTCACAAAATATATCTTCTCATTTCTCTGTTCAAATTTATCAAAGGGAACCACTGTTTTGAAACACTTCTTTATATTTTTTAAACTTGAATCATTTAACAACTTATTATTAGCAGAGATGAATAGTAGCTAGCAATGAAATCCAATAAGCGCTTTTCATCCTATATAGGACTTATTAGTTGGATGTACCTGTATCTCAGAGTTGATGGTCGATCACTTTGAGGCTCAGTAACTAAGGGAATAACGAGATGGCGTTTAGAAGCAAACGATACTAGGTTTAAGTCTCTGAGTGAATGTATCAACTCTGAGATGCAAGAGTACATCCATTCAACGAGTCTCAAGTTGGATAAAATGTGAAATCCAGTAAGCGCTTTTCATCCTATATAGGACTCATTAACTGGATGTACCTGTATCTCAGAGTTGATGTTCGATCAATCTGAGGCTCAGTAACTAAGTGAATAACAAGATGGCGTTTAGAAACAAACGATACTAGGTTCGAGTCTCTGCAGTGAATGTATCAACTCTGAGGTACAAGAGTACATCCATTCAACAAGTCTCAAGTTGGATAAAATGCTCTTTCTAGAGTCCACTGCTAGCCACTATCCATCTCTTCTAATATCATCCTAATTGCTCATAAAGTCTTCGTTCAAAATTTAATTTTAATTTCTGTAAATTTTTGTCTTCCGAACAAGTTATTATGGACTAATCAATAATTTTTTTTTGTATTCTGAGTATGATTAAACATTTTCAGCTTAGTTCTGTTTTTAAATCACCACTGGAAGAAATAGTTTCATGACTATTTTTTTTTACTGGTTTAATTTTAATTTTCATTTTTGTAAGCACTGATTTTAAGTGTACATGGGCATTAATGTCACTAACTATATGCCCTTGTAGTGCCTCTGCGTATATTCGAGTTCGCTTACATTTAATTTGGTCAAGGCCTTTTCGATTAATTTATTTAACCAAGCCATTTGTTAAACAATAACTTATATGTACCATTGACTTTTATTATTGTGTGGTTTGTATGAGCTGGTATGACTGAGCATTGCTTAACGCCTACGCTCATATGCATCCTATTCGCTTTTAATATTGATCTCTTAAATATCACGATGACTCGACATTTTCCTATGTATAAATATACGAACATTTTAATCTTATTAATACACTCACTCGCACATTCACACATTCGCTCGCTAGTGTGCCTGCCCGGTTTGCTTGTAGTCTGCTATCCCTATTTGTGGTGTGCCAAAATAAACGCATTGAACACTTCGAGTTTACCTTCTGATTTATAAACCGTCAGACGCTATTTAGTAAAGATTGTCTGGACGAGTTAATTACGGAGATTAAGAACACCTAGGAATTGGCCACCATACCCTCATGCGTTACGTATTAATACTATACTTGTTTTATTCATTTATATATTAAAGGATCATTCGGACCAAAAGGAGCACGTGGATTGCCAGGTGTTTGCGATATTAAAGGTACATTTGGAATTCCTGGTCCAATGGGTCCTATGGGTCGTCGAGGTCAACCTGGTATCCCAGGTATTCCTGGTGAACCAGGAGATATAGGATTTGGAGGACCCTTAGGAAGATCTGGGCCAAAAGGTGAACGAGGTCTTAGTGGTTTGCCTGGAAGAATTGGAATACGTGGACCAAAAGGACGAAGTGGATGGGCGGCTTCAATTGGACCAAAAGGGAATCCTGGAAGAATTGGTCAACCTGGAAATCCTGGTCCACAAGGTAGGTTTTCTAAAACTTATGTATGGATTTATAATTTGATGCTTCCAGTTTTTTAAGTAAAATTAATTGGTGACATGTTTTCAACTAATAATTATCGCAAATTCTTTTTAAATGCATAAAAAATATAGAGTAGGAGAGTATCTGATGGAAAAATATCTTAATTCCTGTCAAACAGTAGATGTTTTAATGATAACGTCATTTGAATCGTTCGAGTTATTTTTTAAGAATCTAGTAAATTTGAAATATATTTTCTTCAGTAAATATCGATTCTGTCGAATTTCATTGTATTAATTGTATTAATTTTTTTAGGTAGACCTGGTCCCATGGGGAGACAAGGTTTAAAAGGTTCACCTGGAATATCTGCAAGATTAGTTCCTGGTGCTATGGGAGAACAAGGGCCTATGGGGATACAAGGTAGTCGTGGTGAAAAAGGTATTAATGGGATTCATGGTAAAACTGGGAAACCTGGTATTCCTGGAATGCAAACAAAAGGACTTCCAGGTAGACGAGGCCTACCTGGACCATCTGGCCTTCCAGGTGATTCAGGTAGACCAGGATTTGCAGGTGTACCTGGAGCCAAAGGTGAACGAGGTTTTCTTGGACGTATGGGACCTAAAGTAAGTCTATGGGAAAATCAATGAAGGATTTGAATGTGTATGAAACTGTTTACAAACATTAATTTTCATCACCACTATTTACTAACAATGAATGATAGTTTATTTTTGAAGATTGTAGTATTTTCTTAATTTAGATTACCACAATTTCTATTCCATCATATTTCTGAACAATATTAACAGGGTGATTTAGGTCCTCCTGGATTCCCTGGAATAGATGGCCTTCCTGGTAGTCCAGGAAACAAAGGGCGAAATGGTTCACCAGGTTTTCGAGGAGATGATGGAGCAAAAGGTGATCGTGGTTTAATCGGTGATCCTGGACCAGCTGCACCGCAACTACAAGGTCGACAAGGAAGGAAAGGTCTTACTGGAGTTCCTGGATCATTCGGTCTACCTGGTTTAGTCGGTGACAAAGGCTTCTCTGGTAAGTCAATTTTTATTTTACTCTATTCATCATTTTCTTTTCCCAACTTTCATAGTTATTAAACGTTGATTGATTACTAAAAATGATGATTGCACCTTATCAAAGCGAAAATCAAAACGAATTTAAATGATCATTAGTTTGATAGTTGTTCGAAACTCTAGAGTTTTTATTGTTTTTTTTTCATATTAACCTGTCTTTAGGAGCACCAGGTATACCTGGAGATGATGGACCAGTTGGGCCAACGGGACTCCCTGGAAGTCCTGGTTCCAAGGGATTACCAGGAGATCCTGGCTTGCCTAGTCGGTTCGGACAGCAAGGTGAAGCGGGTGATCGTGGTGAATTCGGGCGTCCTGGTTTCCAAGGTCCAGCTGGTCAAAAAGGTAATCTTGGAGAAAAAGGAGATCGAGGCCTAACACCATTCTGTCCTGTTGGACTACCAGGAAGACGTGGACCACCGGGTGGAGCTGGCCTCCCAGGACCAGATGGAGAAAGAGGCAATATAGGTATGTGCACGAGTTAATGAACGAAATTAAATACTTATTTTTAAGTGCGTTTATTTATAGTAGTACTTACTTCAATCACCATTTCATAATTTTAGGTCTACCTGGATTACCAGGTGAAAAAGGTCAACGTGGTCGCACGCCAGAACCTTTGCCTGGACCAAAAGGTGATATGGGCCCAGTTGGCCCTGATGGATTACCAGGTATGTTGTAGATCATACTGTTTTCAGCATAGAAAGTCATGTTTGAATCATTTTATAGCTATACTAGCTATACTCTTAGAGTTAACATTAAGCTCCTCAGATTTTTCAGGGGTTGACCTTCTACCAGGAAAGTCGCTTACTGATCTAGAATATGCCGATGACATAGTTCTATTCGGTGAAGACGCTGACAAAATGCAGAGTCTTCTGACTACCATAAGCAACAATGCGAGCATGTTCGGGATGCGGTTTTCCCCCTCGAAATGCAAAATGTTGCTTCAAGACTGGGTTGCTTCGGCACCTGAACTAGTGATAGGGAGTGAAGTAGTCGAGCGTGTAGATCACTTCACTTATCTTGGGAGTCTCATCAGTGCTGACGGTCTGGTGACTGACGAAATCTCAGCTCGGATACAGAAAGCTCGATTGGCTTTTGCCAACCTGCGTCACTTATGGCGTAGGCGTGATATCCGTTCGCTAACCAAAGGGTGGGTGTACTGCGCAGTAGTTCGTTCCGTTCTCTTATATGGCTGTGAAACATGGCCAATGAGAGTAGAAGATGTTCGTAGGTTACTAGTATTCGATCATAGATGTTTAAGAAGCATTGCTCGTATATCGTGGGACACCCGAGTTAGCAACGCTGTTATTAGGAAACGGGTACTAGGTAAGAATGGCAGATCAATCGATGAAGTGGTGAAACTTCATCAGTTGAGGTGGTTGGGACATGTGTTACGTATGCCTAACCACCGACTGCCTCGACGAGCTATGTTTTGTGGCGTAGGAGTAGGTTGGAAGAAAGCTAGGGGCGGCCAGACCAAAACATGGCAGAAATCCATGAAGTCACTGACAAGTGGACTGAGTCATGTTGGTAGATGTAGACTACCTGGTTGGGGTCCGCGAGACGAAAGTCATCAATGGTTAGAGACCTTGAACGACATGGCTCAAAATCGTTTGCAATGGCGCAGGTGCATCCACTCTTTGAGCTCTCTCAAATCCTGATCTTCTGGATTAGCCAGCACCTCTACCTTTGTCTTTCTAACCTTATCTCACTGAGTTATATTTTTTTGAATAATATCTTAAACCCTAGTCTTCTTTATTATAACATTAATACCTCTACCATCTTTATCACTATGGGATTTGATTTGACATTTGCGTCTCTGTGCTAATAATGTGGTATGGCAACATGAACTTATGTACATACGTACGAAGTTCTACGTTGCAACTGACTATACTAGTATAATTCAGAATGTTAATAAAACAAATCCCTTCAATATTCTCAGTGAAAGTCGAACAGAAATGAGATTCCACTGTTTTCTTCCCAAGAATTCTACAATTCTCTCGTAGAATGTTACGGAACAGTATGATAGTCTTGGGAAATGTTCCATGTCCAGTTAAAGGGACATTCCAGCCACTCTTGTCAGTATCTAACCTGATCACGAATTATCTTAGTTGTTGACCTACAAATAGGTTGTGCATCGAAATGCACCTATGACCTAAATTGGTAAATAACTTCCTTGATTCAAAGCTTTTTATTTTTCCAATTTTAATCACATCTAAAATCTTATTCATATCACATACAATAGCCAAGGCGCTTCTTTTCATTATAGCTGTCATATATTTGTTTAAAAGTATTAGACTAGATTCTTAGTGAGTATATCAACAATCGAATTCAGGTTTTTTTTGGTGGCTGTGTTAAATTTGAAGTACGGCGGACCAGTTTAGTGATCTGCAATCTGATTCCAATTTGGACAAACTGCCGAGCTATGCTATGAAATTTCAATCTTTCATCGAATTCCCGTACATCCTACCTTGGCGAACTTTGTATTAAGCAACAGTGGTAATAAAAAGCCAAATACAAATTTACGGATGAATTTATTTCATGCATTCATTTAAGTGAACAAAGCGTACAATCAAAGCAAAACGAGGCGGAGAAGGAGAGAGCGTGCCAACCCACTTATAATGAGGCATGCCCCTAAGCATTTATATATACTCAAGCAAAAATAGATTAGGCATGTATGTAATAAACGAACTGAGCATTCACAAATACGCACTCAAAAATAAGAAACAATCAAAATATAAACGAACAACTGGCAAGGTCAAAAGATGTGTGAATAATAATTCGTGCAGAAAAAGTTAGTTTGTTCTTATCCCAAAGCTAGGCACATAGTGTAGTGAACGAGAACGCAGGTGGGGTAAGCGAACTGTATATAGCGAAATTACAGAGTTGCTCAGTAAAATTGGAAAACCATATCGTAAATTGTTAATTTGCAAAATAACAGTTCATCATATCGAACTGGACTGTTCCTGTTACCAAAACATCAATCCATTGTCACTATTCATGCGTTTCATACAAATTCCATTGTGTTCCCACTCTTCCTTTCTTGATCTTCCCCCATCTTCTGCTGTCAGACATTACGTTGACACTCACATCATATACTACTTATAAGTAGCTCACACCACAATAGCCCTATGGACTCTACATATTGATGCAAACACTATGGGGTACATCTATCATCTTATGAGTCACTGATAGATTCTATATCTGACTACAATCTATGGAACAAACTATGTAATTTATGAAATGAAAATTATATTTAATTATTTGAATGAAATTAAGTCGCATTATTCTGAGTAAATAGTTAACTTGAATAATTTGTGTACAATATTCAATAGTAATAATTGATTTCAATTCGAAAAGAAGATCTCATAATAATCATAACAATAATAATAATATAAAGTGAACTTGAAGCATCTTAGTTAAGTATTATGCAATCTCATGTTGTAATCAAATCAAGATCCTGTTACACACCACATACATACATTTATTTAGTTATATATTTTGATTGACTAAGGTAAGGTATCTGTAACATGAAATCAACTTCATATTCCAGACAGTGTAGGAATGTTTTGATTAAATTTTACAAAATAATAATCAACTTGAGACGTTTATATGTTATAAAATAGATCTATATTGTTCTTCACCAAGGGAAATACTGTTCAATGTAGCATAGAAATGATCTGTTTGAACTACTTACGTATTTAGATTGTAAGAAGCAAATGTACTTGTTAATTTACATCAAAATGATCCTATATTGGTAGCTTATTCATCATCCAGAATAATACAGAACAGTATGTTTGGTAGTTTGTTTTAAGATTTATAGTATGAATCGTTGATCCTATCGACCTGTGCAGATGCAGCATCACTAGTAATGTTAATGATTAATGTAAGATTAATAGATATGAATGATTGCATTAAAATGTGAAATTTTACTGAATATTTTTATTAGTTTTTATAATATCACTAATGTTTATATCAGCTAATGGTTACTAAACCTTAGAATAATCAATTACTTTTTTCTCTCTCTCTAAAGGTTCATTCGGTGAACCTGGATTCCCTGGACCTGGTGGTGTTAAAGGCCGACCAGGACCAGCTGGAGACCCAGGATTTCGTGGTATACAAGGAGATCCTGGAGATCGTGGTTTCCCGGGAACACCTGGTCAGGATGGAGCACCTGGGAGAGATGGTTTCCGTGGAAACCCTGGGCGTCCGGGTAATGATGGAGCTCCAGGATTAAAAGGGACCCGCGGTTTACCTGGCAGTCCTGGTTTCCCAGGAATTAAAGGTGTTATGGGCACTCAGGGTAAGTTGGTTTACATTCTCATTCCATGAATAAAAGTTAATTTATCTTAATGAAACTCATCATATGTACAAATAAAATCATACCTTCAGGACTACAAACAGAATGTGTACATTTAACTTGAAAGTATACTCTAACCTGAATACAGTTCAAGTGACTATGTTCATGATTGTAATTTTTTTCTATACTGAATATTGATTGATTTGTGTTTTCACTTTCATACAGGATCTCCTGGTTCTCCTGGTCAAATGGGTATCAAAGGTTTACCAGGTCGATCAGATCGGGCACAAAAAGGTAGTCGTGGTGATCCAGGCTCACCTGGAGCACCGGGTGAACGTGGCCTTCCTGGTTTGTCAGGTAAATTTTGACTTTCTTATCAAATCTAGTTATTTTAAACTCTAGTAAACGATTTGTCAGCAGTTCACATCTACAAACTCCAACCTTCTTTTTAAGTCTGACGATGAGTGTTTAGCCTTTAGACTACTGAGTCAGGAGCCAATGGTTCATAGGTCTAACTTCCAAAAATTCAAGGCATTACTCGCTACCAGACTTGAAAGGTTATGAATGCGAACTGAAGAAATACCGGATACTTGAACAAAACAGAAGTACAGTACTTCGTAGTGTCAATAATTGTCTAACTAATATCAGTTCGTGATGTAAACTAAAAAACTAAGTAATCCCTATAAACCCTTTTAATAAATTTATCATAATTTGACGGTTTCTCTCCTTTTTTTCTCTTACCCCTAACTTTATCCAGGATCAATTCATTGTTATCACCATATAAAAATAGTAAAGAATGCTTTTCCGATTTGTTAACAATTTAGACTGTTGATAAGTCCGATACCAGGACGAGACTGGCGTACAGTGCTTCCAGTTTTCTAATGTTGTGGTGGTGTTTCGTTCTCTGAGCTGAATGTTTTGGTTGTGAAGCTTTTATATATACGAACTACTATGGATACACATTAGATTGGAACAATGTGAAAATACTGGATAGGGGGCGAACAAAGAACACTAGAGAATTTTAAGAAGCTTGGTACTCAGGTCAGTCAGCGAATGAGCAAACACATCGAAATTGACCCAATTTATCAACTAATCGGAAAAATCATCGGGGACGTAAGATAAAAAGGGGGGATACAATCAAAACAAAGGTACAAACAATGACACACTTAAGATCAACAGCAACCAATCAAGATCGAGGTTAACAGAAGAAACTACGGGTCAAACGTGGAGAAATTCGAATGCATCACTTCTATCTGAAGTTTGTGCTGCTGATGATGTTGTTCAGTAGAAGAACTATGAAAGCTCCACAACCAAAACATCCAGCTCAGAGAATGAAACACCACCACAATCATTCACCTGAGCTACAAATTTTTCTCCACTCTTTCTAATGTTGATCTAACAATGATTTCTATGAGTAAAACTGAAAATTATTATATAAATATGAATTATGATTGATTGTCTGAGAGTATTAACTAGTCGAATCTAATGAAACATGTGGCTCAAGGCAGATTTCAAATCAATTGCTAATTAATACAGACACGAGTAATTAGTGAGGTCCATCAGTCTAATTCAATGTAAAATTGTAACTTAACCTGAATGAATAGGTCTTTCTATTAATATTTAAAGCAACAAGAATATGTTATTTTAGTAATCATAGAATTCTAACGTCATCTTATTATTCTACTAACGAGTTAATAATCTTTAAAAGTGAGTTAAAAAAATATTAGTAATATCATCATTTCAATTTAGATGTTTTCAAAGTTATTATCGAAATAATTTTCTCTTTTTTTCAGGACAACGTGGTAAACAAGGTGATCCAGGTGAAAAAGGCATAAAAGGATTGCCTAATCCAATTCCTGGTACAAGAGGTCGTACAGGTGATCCAGGTCCACGTGGTGACCCTGGGTATAGAGGAATGAAAGGTTTTATCGGTGAAAAAGGTCAACGTGGACCACCTGGAAGAAATGGTACTATTGGATTAGATGATAGTGGATTTCTATTCACTGTACATTCTCAAGATTCTCAACCGCCTAATTGTCCAATTTATACAACACCAGTTTATACTGGTTACAGTCTTGTTACACTACAAGGTGATGATGATTCAACAACAATGGATTTAGGTAATACAAAAAAAATATTTTAATTTGTATTCTTTAATATTTTAGCATAAAAGTAATTTAATCATGACTTACGCTTGTTACCCCCAATGGAGCATAGACCGCCGACCAGTTTTCTCCAACCAACTACGTCCTTGGCTTCCCTTTCTAGTTCTGTCCAGTGTTCGTTCATTTTTCTCACGTCTTTCTCTATCTCTCGGCGTAATATGTTCTTTGGCCTTCCTCTTTTCCTTTTGCCTTGAGGGTTCTAAGTGAGGGCTTGTCTTGTGATGCAGTTAGGTGCTTTTCGTAGTGTGTGTCCTATCCACTTCCACCGCTTCTTCCTGATTTCCTCCTCCACTCGAATCTGGTCTGTTCTCTCCCATAGTACGTTGTTGCTAATGGTGTCTGGCCAATGAATCCGAAGTATTTTGCGTAGACAACTGTTAATAAACTCTTGTATCTTCTGAATGATGGCTTTGGTAGTTCTACAAATTTAATCATGAACTAATATAAATTATCTAAGCATGATAGTACTTGGAATTTAATGAATTGTAGTGAGAGACAAATAAATTACCTTTTAAATTGTTATAATCATATTTCTGTCAATGAAAAGAATCCGATTATTGATAAACTGGCTATTGAAGTGACTAAGGGAAGTAGTATATACCAAGAGTTTGTTGAGTTTCATCGTCTAGTTGTAGTTTCTAATGTGATGTGATGTGATTTTCTTTAATCTGGCAAACTCTATTTATTCTAACTGCTAGTTTACTTCAAATATCACACTTTTATATTTTGTGATGGAGTTTCATTCTCTAAGCTGGATGTTTTAGTTGTGGAGGTTTTTAATTGTTCTTCTACTGAACAACATTATCAGCACAAACTTCAGGTAGAAGTAAAGTATCTTCCATGTATAACTTGTAGTTTGTTCTGTTGACTTCAATCTTGATCGGTTGTTATTCACCTTAACACCTGTCGTTGTCTGTAAACAATCCTCCACCTGAGCTACAAATTTGCTCAACCATCTATTATATTTTACATGATAGATTTCATTGAGTAACACGGTTAACATTGGGCCCATAATTAAGTCGGATATTCAGTCAGTCACAACGTAGAACTTGATATATCATTTCAAGTTGCCATAGCACATTATCAAAGAGAAATGGAATTGTCAAGCCAAATCCCATAGTAGTAGAGATAGAAGTATTTTCAGTTTTGGAAAAGATAAGCATTCGAAGTTATAATTCAAGAAGTATAAACCAGTGAAATAAATCTAGGAAGAGAGAAAAAAGGTCATTTGTGAGAAGACAAATAATAGATGCATCTACACAACTGCAAACCTTTTTGACCCATGTCATTCAAAGTCTCTAACCACCAATTACAGTTGTCTCGTGGACCCCTACCAGGTAGTCTACACTTACCAACATGGCTCAGTCCAGTTGTCAGTCGATTCATAGATTTCTGCCATGTTTTGCTTTCTTCCAGCTCATCCCTGCAACAGACGAAATCGCCCATTGAGTCAGTCGGTTTTAGGCATACGTAAGATATATCCCAACCACCTCAACTTATGAAGATTCACTACTTTATCTATTGATCTGCCATCCTTACCTAGTACCCGTTTCCTAACAGCTGCATTGCTAACTCGATAGTCCCAAAATGAACGAGCAATGCCTTGAAGACACCTACGATTGAAAACCATTAACCTACGAATATCTTCTAATCTTACTGTCCATGTTTCACAGCAATAAATTAGGACGGAGCGAAGTGCTCCTCAGTAGACTCATCCTTCGTTTAGCAGATTCGTATCTTGCCTACTCCATAAATGACGCAAGTTTGCAAAAGCCAGTCGAGTCTTCTTTATCCGTGCCGAGGTGAAGTTAAATATTAGGCCACCAGCACTGATGAGACTCCCAAAATAAGTGAAGAGGTCAACATGATCAACTAATTCACTCTCTATCACTAGTTCAGGTGCCTACACCAGCCAATCCTGAAGTAACATTTTGTTTTTGTGGAGGAAGAATCGCATCCCGAACCTGCTTGCATTGTTGCTTGAGGTGGTTGGAAGACTGAATCTTGTCAGTGACTTCACCAATTAAAACTATGTTATCTGCATATTCTAAGTCAACAAGCGAGTCTCCTAGTATAGAGTCAACTCCTGAAAAGTCAGACAATGAAAGTGCTGTCGCTAAAAGTATCTGTTTGAGTAAAAATCGTGTATTCAACGTTGAGTTTAACTGGTACGTTTTACTGACATGTATTCTACCTTCATGTTGGCTAAAACACTGGTAAACCTTAGGATTGGGGTGGATTACAAATTCCAGACCTCACACTGTAAAACCACTTTTCAGCTCTTTCAATAAACCCTTGTAAATCAGACACAATAATGTTTATTGATTTTTATTTGTTGATGTAAGTTAAGCAAAGAATCTTCTAATTTTTAGGAACACCTGGTTCATGTCTTAGAAAATTCAGTATTATGCCATTTGCAAATTGTTTTGCTAAAGTAAATGGTCATTGTCAAGTGAATATGAGAAATGGACGTTCATATTGGTTATCAACATTAGAACAATATATGCTTTCACCAGCTCGTGTAGAAAATATTAAACCATATATTTCTAGGTAAGTTGTTCTCCAAAAGTAATTATTTTTTTTAGCATTCTACCTTAATGAATATTTTGATTACGAGGAAAAAAAGTTCTCAGAAGTTTTTTATCATTTCGGAATGGAGATGATTAACACATGAAAAAAGACATAAGTACTTACTTAATAGTTAGAAAAATTCGACTTCTATTCGTGGATACTCAGTAAATTTTATCGTTCATATCATGGTTTTGACCTTTGAACACCATTGAAAAGCAGGAAGTAATGAACTTAGCACCAAACATTTCAAGAGTGTTGACCATGGATTTGATCACGAGTCGAGTTCATGACCATCGTAGGGAGTTCTTAAACCATCAAGATGGTTAACATCGCTTTATATTTGTACCTTTATTCAATTCTTCGAATATGATTGTTCAATAACAACTACCTTACACTTGGAATGGTCGAATCCTATTGATCAATGAACTCCTGAAGTTACCAGTGAAAATTGTTCTTTATGAGTACATTTGATTCTTAAATTTCAACTAATATATATATCAGATTTAAACATCGTTTCACTTAAAACTGAACACACAAATGATCTACGCTAAAAAAAATTAACATGAAAAGTACCATAATCTAAAATTATACGAATAAGTGCAGCTATCTTGTAGTTTTAATCAAAGCTTTATTCAGTAATTACTAATCTTTATTGAATTATATGATAATATAATTCAAGTCAATTGCTGGAATGTGAGGGAGGACATACAACCACAACACATATATGTATATTTTTAAAAATGGAATGAAATGAAACGCTTCACTGCCAAACACCATGCATGGCATAACAGAAGAACTCTAAAGAGGAGTCTTAAAACAATACAGTGTTGAAGCATACTACAAAACAACGGGCATACTTTGAAACGCTTTAGTTTCTGTAACGGATAAGATCCCTTTTACGTCAACACAGAACTACACTTATAAATTATGGTGTATCGATTGTGAAGCTTTCTTTATTGAAGAGTCGTCTCGCGAAATCTTTACTCGAGCATATGAACTACATAAAGAAGTCACCTATCATTGTAGAACTTGAACGACTTCAAATTAAATCAGCTATTGCAGTACATACCCATCTTCAATAATCGTCAAGTCGATACTAAAAAATTTCGAAATAAAATACTAAAGACATTTTGAGCTACCAAGAAAGTTGAATAGCTGAAGCCCTCCTCCTCATATTGTTAAATCCTACTGCCGTTAATAAAAAAATGAAAGCTAAACTATCTATCCGATTTACATCATCTATCCAAGCTACGATGTTTGATTCTATTCACAACCTAAAATTCGTTACACATTTGAAATCATCAATCAATCATTGTTAGACCACCATTAGAAACCTGGAAGCACTGGACGGCCGTTTCGTCCTGGTATGGGACTCACCAGCAGTGCTCCCCGCAGGATTCGAACCCGGGACCTTCGGCATTGTAGGCGAACGCCTTACCATCGGACCACTAGGCCGGCACCCAACGGTGTTAATGTCCCATACCAGGACGAAACAGCCGTCCAGTGCTTCCAGGTTTCTAACGATGGTCCAACATTGATCGATTCATGGTTTCAAGAATGTGTAACTTAACAATCTATTTTATCATGAAAATAGATATTAAGTGATATTCATTCAAGATACATTTTTTTGACAAAAATACAAAATCAACCATGCGTATTATAGTAATTCAAACCTATAAAAATTTTATTTTATTTTATTTTATTTATATTCTTGTAGATGTATTGTATGTCAATCTAGAACTTGGTTAGTAGCATTTCATTCACAACGTGATGATATTGGTCAAATGTGTCCACCGGGTTGGGAGAATGCATGGAATGGTTTTAGTTTTCCAATGGTAATTATTTCATTTTAAATTAATTCATAATATTTATAATTATGAATTTTTTCGTGTATGAATTATTTAACTTTCCATGTACAGGTATTTAACAGTTTAACCTTAAAAAATAGTATTAAATAGTTAGATATAGTAATCCGTGTTGGCCTACTGTTGTAACTCTTCGCTTAAATGATTCCAAAATAAATCCTATTGCTTAGTATTCTCTGACCACAATACACTGGACAAGTTCCCAGGAATCAAAACACGGTTGAACAGGAAAGATTATGTTCCGAATAGCAAGGTTAAATGGAATAAGAAGCCAAGGGTGATGGCGAAGGCAAAGGCAAAAATAGATACAACGTTAGTTCATTTATAGCATTTACATGAGAAGCTTCTAGATAGAAATTCACGTGATCGACTGGGTTAGATTTAGCCAATCAGCACGCATCTAACAATACGAGAATTTTCTGCCCTGTTCTCCAAGAATCGATCAGGCGCTGATTGGATAGGAAATTAGCCAATCAGCGCGCAGCTGACGCAGTCATGCTTTAACTTCATCTATGTCCCACTAACACCTACCAACAACAGATCAAGAGCTGCAAAGCAATGGGACTAGACAACATTCCAGCAGAAGCAATGGAAAAAGTACTAAATCCATCATTCGGAAGATAGAAGTATTTATTAACAGTTGTCCACGCAAATTATTTTGGATCCATTGGTCAAACAACATCAGCAACAACCTACTGTAGGAGAGAATAAATCAGATCTCAACTGTGGAAGAAATTAGGAAAAAGCACATAAACTGGATAGGACACACATTGCGGAAATCACCCTAAACTGCGTCACAAGACAAACTCTCACTTAGAATCCTCAAAGCCAAAGGAGAAGTGGAGAACCAATGAACGCATTACGAAACGAATTAGAGACAGACATGAAAAGTTCGAACAACAATTGGACAGAACTAGAAAGGGAAGCCTAGGACAGAGTAGGTTAAGGAATACTGGCCGGCGGCATATGATCCATTGGGATAAGTAAGGTTGGATATAGTAAGTAGGAAACACCTGAACCTGAGTTTCCTGTCTACTACTCACAAATAATGAGGTAATGTATAAAAAGTTCGGTTACTTAGATTAGTGGCTACACTACGATATTGTCAAAAGAATCCAGTCGCCAATAATCTCATACATAAAAAAGATATACATTGTCGATCAATGAGAAAAAAGTAGTTTTCACTAGTTCAATATCTTCATATAAACCACAAACAACTAAACACTGAATTTTTGAGACTAGATGGATATCCATATACTTAATGCCTGACTAAAGATTTTTAGTTAGAAAAAAAGTGGCAATTAATTCTCACTTACACAATTGAAAAATTACATCACTTGGGGAAATTTACAATGAAACAAACATTGAATAAACCGATTCTTTCTAGTTTTAAATCTCTTTCGGAATTAATTACACTTGATTCATTTCACGAAGATAAACTCATAAATCTCAAACTTTGAGGAAGACAAAATACTGTCGGTGACTTTTGGAACCCACATCGTCTGATGTTCGACTACAATCAAGGTAGCTTATGTTATAATTAACAGATACCGCCATCAGTAATTTACTCACATCAATTATCAATTGATTGAGCAACTTATGACTCTAATAACATGAATGCATCTCTTTAATAACACAATTCTAGATTGTCGAATTGTCATCTTCAATGAAAATGCAATAGTTATGTGAATAAAGCACTTAAAAGGTCAGTGATCATTTGACATTGATCACCGACAAATAATATCCGAAAATTTCACATTACAATCGAATATTTTTCTCCCTAATACATGATGATTGTTGTTAATTTAAACATAAATAAAACTGATTCAAATAGAGAATACATTGTCACAGTTCTAATCAACAATCAGAAAGTTATACTCTATAGAAAAAGAAAACACAAGAAGCTAGAAAATAGGTGTAAACACTTGTTCGCATAAAAGGTTGGTAAATTTGAATAAAGTCTCCTGTACAGGTCATTTCAACATTCAATTGTCCAATGAACAAACATTATTATTTAGCAAGTATGTAGTAACTGCTGTAGGATTTAATTTCTCCTACAGATGTACTTCTAGAACCGTAAACGCAATACTGGCGAGCACAGAGTCTATGGGAAAGCTATAATCAGAACAAGATCAACTTTTGCTTTAAACTTTATCTGTTTCTAAACATAAAAACAATTAGATTGGTACAATAATGGAGGAAATTACAGTTATCAATTAAAACAAGCAACATACCGACCAATATAGCGTGTCTTATTTGATTTGAATAAAGTTGTGAGTCACAACAACATAATAGGATAATAATATCCTTCAATTAGTAGGTCATTTACAACAAAGAAAGTTTGCAGACACGTCAGATCAGAAGATCACGTGGTGGACGCTTACGCCACAATTTGATTGGTCAGTTATGGAAATAACTAACATTCCCCCCGAAACGGTCACCAAGTCTAGGCCCCATTACCGTCGCTTCCAGTAGGCACAGGTTCCGTATATCTCGGTTGATCTCTTCGGTGTCTGTCTCCAATCGAATCGTTCTGACTCAGCCATCTGTAGCACAACTGACCTGTCTAACTATAGCTTTCGCCCACAGATTTCTTAGCAAGCCAGCAGTATTGTTTACTAACACTGAATCTCCCTGTTGTGGATTCCTTCGCACTGACTTTATGGTGCGTTTCCATAACTGCTTTATTTAAAAAAATGAGTATACTGATGAAGCACAAGTGGTTAGTAGTGTCGTGAAGGAGAACACAGGTGGGGCAGCCGAATTGTGTCAGAGTTAGACATTAAGACCGTTGGATGCCGGCCCAGTGGTCCGATAGTAAGGCGTTCGCCTACAATGCCAAAGGTCACGGGTTCGAATCCTGCGAGGAGCAGGAGTCGTGAATGCGCACTGCTGATGAGTCACGTACTAGGACGAAACGGCCGTCAAATGCTTCCAGGTTTCTAATGGTGGTCAAATGCGAATCGTATTTACAAAAATTACGGAGTTACTCAGTAAAATAAGAAAACCATATCGTAAATCGTTAATTTGCAAATTATCACTCCATCATATCGGACTGGACTGTTCCTATTGCAAAACATCAATCCATTGTCACTACTATTCATGCGTTTCATACAAATTCCATTGTTTTCTAACTCTTCCTTTCTTGATCTTCCCCCATCTTCTGCTGCCGGACATTACATTGACACTCACGTCATATACTACTTATAAGTAGCTCGCACCACAGTAGGATACTGAGCATCGAATTTTCATGTACCCAAAAACTTTCTATTTTAAATCCAATTTCCCACGTTCCCTTCTTTGTTTTATTTTGCTGTTCATCCACAGGCTATCGGTTCTTCATCCAATGGTGGTGTACAACCATTAGAATCACCTGGAAGTTGTTTACAACATTTTCGTGCATTGCCATTTATTGAATGTAATAATCATGATGGTAATTGTTTTCATTGGCAAGATGGTCGATCGTATTGGATGTCTAGTATTAGACAAAATGAACAATTTATTAAACCTATTGGTACAACATATAAAACAGAGACTGGCATATTACAACATGTTAGTCGTTGTAGTGTATGTCGACGTGCAATGGAATCGTTATTACGTTGAAAGAAATTCTTTTTTTTCTTTTTGTCAATGATGATTAAATGTTCCTTTTCAGATTTTATCTTTAAGAAGAAAATACACAAAATCAATGAATTACTGCCTTTTTTTCTGTTTCTTGTTTCTTTGATAAGAAGGAACAATTACTACACAAACACCAACTTACACACACACGCACACACACACTCATATATATATACACATACATACATACATAAATTAAAAGATTGCCAACTTGTATTATTGAAAATTATTTAATGTATACGTAAAAACATTTCTTTCACCTAGAAATATTACATTAACTCGCATAGTTTGTTGTATGTTCAAGGAATTAAATACACTTAGCAAATCTTACGAATATATATATTGAATATTCAATATTCTCAATTGAAACTTGAACGTATCGATTTAACTATTAATATTACTGTTATTATTATTATTACTGTTACTAATCCTACTATTACTAACAAACACTATTATACTAATAATGTTAGACAATGATTATTTTTCAAATTTTTCAATGAATAACAAACAACAAATCGATGAATCTCTCTCTCTCTCTCTCTCTCTCTTGCTTTCACTATATATATAACATATATTCAAACAACTAGAACTGATGATCAATATTAATTATTCTCGTTACGATTAATATTACTATTATTATTATTACTATTATTGTTTTTTAATAATAGCATTACCACTATTATTATTATTATTATTATTATTATTATTAATATTATTATTATTCTACTACTACTAGTTGTGTATTTTCAATATATATAGGCTTTTATCAGTTTATTCAATGTTCAATTATTATGATTATGATTATTATCTTCTTAACTTTAAACAAACAAAAAATGGGCATGTGCACACAGACAGACAAGTTAAATGAAACCAGAAACATATATATATGGTTTTACATTTTTTATAAAAATGGACTGCATTTTCTTTGTTTCTCTGTGTTTCTTTTCATTGTTCAGGATGGTTCCTGTTTCATTTTGTTTTATTAATTAAACTATTTTATTTTTTGTTGATTTCAAAAATTTGAAAAAAAATAGGAATTTTCAAACAGAACTTGTTCAATTTTGCATTTATATATATTTATTTATATATATACATGATATAAAATATTTTAAATTATCTATTTATTCTATTTTGTCGTAAGTGTAAGTGATGGTGCCTTTGTTGTTACTGTTGCTGTTGTCTGTTATTATTGATTAGGAAGATTGAAATTACTTTTTTTTTCTGTGTGTGGTTATTTATTGCTTTCTTTTTCTACTCAATAAAAAAAATGATTATTGGTTATTCAAACAACAAAAACAAGTTCTTTTATCTTCTTATTAATTAATCTATCTATAATGACAAACATTGTGAGAAGATACTTACTACTTGTAACAACACTTCGAATTTGAATCAAATAAATCTTTAAAACAAAACGATTAGTGGTAGTGTAGTGAACGAGAACACAGGTGAGGGCAACCGAATTGTATTTAACGAAAATTACAGAGTTACTCAGTAAAATCGGAAAACCACATCGTAAATTGTTCATTTGCAAATCTTCAATTCATCATCAATCCATTGTCTGACATTTCACTCACTATTCATGCGTTTCATACAAATTCCATTGTGTTCCCACTCTTCTTCCTTTCTCTTGATCTTCCCTCATCTTTTGCTGCCAGACATTACGTTGACACTCACTTCATATACTACTTATAAGCAGCTTGCACCACAGTAGTATTGATTGAATTTAAAAGTGAAACGAAGAGGGAGAAACTCGCAGATTGACTATAAATTGATTGGAGTAGTGGGTCATCAAGTCAGTCATTCAGTCAGGTACAATGTAGAACATTGTACGCAAGTACATCAGTTCAAGCATAGAGAGGATGAATTGTCGATTCGAATCCAATAGTGGTAGAGATAGTAGACGTAGTAACGGTAATGGAGAAGATTAAGGTTCGAAGAAACTATTCATGAAGTATAATCCAGTGAAAGATAAAGGTGATGAAGAATACAGAAGACTAGGATTTGTGAGAACGCGAACAGTGGATGCATCTGCAGCTTCGCAAATGATTTTCTGTCTTGTCATTCAAAGTCTCTAACCATCGGTTACTATTGCCTTGTGGACCTTATTCAGGTAGTCTACACTTACCAACATGGCTCAGTCAACTTATCAGTGACTTCATGGATTTGTGTCATGTTTTGTTGGTTTTGCCGCACCGCGCTTTCTTCCAGCCTACCCCTACACCACAAAACATCACTCGTCAAGGCAGTCGGTGGTTAGCCATACGTAACACATGTCCCAACCACCTCAACTGGTGAAGTTTCAAGACCTCATCTGACATTCATACCTAGTACCCGTTTCTTAACAACAGCATTGCTTACTCAGTGGTCCCAGGATGTTCGAGCAATGTTCCAGAGACAACTATGATCGAATGCCAGTAACCTTCAAATATCCTCTACTCTTATAGACCATGTTTCACAGCCATAAATACGAATGGAGCAAATTGCAGCGCAGTAGACTCGTTCTTTTGTTAGCTGACAGATGCCATACCTACACCATAATTGATGCAAGTTGGTAAAAGTCAGTTAAGCCTTCTGTACCCATTCTGAGATTCTGTCACTCACTAGACCATCAGCACTGACAGGAATACCAAGATGAGAGACGCAATCAACACGCTCAACCACTTCATTTCCTATCATAAGTTTCAGGTGCTGATACAAGCCAATCCCGGGTATGTGTCAAGTGATTTGGATTGTATCAAAAATTAACATATATTTGCTTGACAGTTCATTTCCAGACATTTACATTAATTAAAACTAAGGGTGCTATCATCAATATTGATTTCCGTAACGTTACAATCAGCTAACTTTAGTTTATTTAGTCAAATATATGAATATTGTATATTATGTCAAGAAAGCTCTCTCCCACAAATAAACTATAGCAGGAGAACTTGTACAATGTATACTGATATGTTGAGCTCACATGGTTTGTCCTAGCTTTTAGACAATCTAATTAATTTTGTCTGTCCAAATTACTAATCGCGCGTCTTTAACCTAGTCAATTCATTCTCTTAAAGTCTAGGTTATTTTCATTTGAATGCGTGTGTGCATTGTTTGCTTCGTTTATCATATGTCTAGTTCATTTATGTCTGACCATAAATAATTAGTCATGCCTTATCGATAGAGTTGGCCTACTCGCCTTCTCTGTTTCAATTGGCTTGACTTGACCTTCTATTGTCTGTCTGCTAAAATTAATGTATGGAATAAATGTATCTGGAAAACTGGCTCATTCGCTGACAGGTTCAAGCGGCCCCCTTCGTTCGCTTGCTTGCTTTTCGGCACTCTCATATAATTATTGCTTTCAGTTTGTGTGCCTGTGGTTATGTGATCTGTATGCGGTGCGATATTAAACGTAACCAACGCTAAGTATTCGCCTTTGGATTTATGCACCGTTGGGTGTTATGCAATAACGATTAACAAGATGAGCAGTATACGAAGTTTAGGAATATATGGAGTACAGACTGCCAGGGAACTGGTGAGCCCATATCCACCACAAAGGTTTAAAGCTTTAAAATTAACATTTCAATCAGAAGATACCTTGAAATCAACTATTTTCACTGTTGTAACCTTGTAAGATTTTGCACTGTTTGAAAGAAGTGTTCACTATCAACTGCTTACGTTACTCTTACAACTAAAAAAACGTGGTAGAACTAATGTTCCAGCTTTGTTCCAGAGACCTTAATACAACAATTCCATTTACTTTTCAAGCCCAGGATAGTTCAAAAGATAATCTTTCAAAAAAATTATATTTTAGTACAGACTGAAAACGTTTAATCAAAGTTAATCACATGTGTGTATGAGTAAACGCACATGCTCGTCTGATTTGAGTATGTGTGTGTAACTGCACTTGCAATGACCTTGAAAAATGAGACAGGATACCACCTAGAGAGAAATTGACCAATGGTAAAGCAATATCCTTATTTGTCATAAAATTGATGATTAGCTTCTACATAGAGTTGAACTTACATTGAAGACGCATTTTAAATGCATGTAAATCATAATTCCCACAACTAAACTCAAAAGTTGGTTATGAAAACAATCAATAGTAGCAAATATAAAATACAACAACAAGTGGGAGTGTTTATTTCGTATGATTTAACTGGTGGAACATTGAAAATTCTCATCGATAGGCAAAAATGAAACCTAGAAATTCATTGTATTTTTAGATGATGCAGTTAAATTAACTGGTATTGTAAAAAATACACATATATCAAATTATTGATGAATAGATATTAACTACTTACATTTCAAAGCATTTAAATTTGACCATATCACCAAATCATGTATTACTTACTTACATATTTACGCTTGTTACCCGTGCATCACAGTATTGGTGAATTTCATTATAACTGTACTAGCCTTTGATAATCAACTATTATCTTTGTATTATAATTATAGTTTAACTTGTATGTTGATACAGTACTACCCATTACACACAGAGTAATGTAATTGATCACCTGTCATTGTTTAATTGAACAAGGAGTGATACAAATTTATATGCAGGAGAAGGCATAATCGCAGACTGTTGGGGACGTTAGATCCCCAGAAATCATTTGATTAAGGTCCGAAATTTGGATTTTGTGGTTTCGCGCATAGGCTGATCAGCTGACCCTGATATTGCATTTCCAACTCAGAAAATCCTTGAATGCCATTAGTTGATGTATTATTTTAGTACTCTATTTTTTGGCTCTCCAAAGGATGTTTCTATGATGTATAAATAAACTCAATCTTTATACTTGAAAATCTCGATTTACTGGGTGCTGGTAGAATACATACACTTTCTACGTCTTGCCAAGACTTCATCCCCTACTTAGTGGGACGCTCGGATTAGAGTAGCCTATTGTGTCGCTGGGTCATTTGTCTTCGCTCACGTTTTTACCGACTAAGGTGACCTCGTAATAGCAGCTGCATTCAAGCATATCAACTGACGAGGAATAACATATTTATATGAGGAACTAATATTTTTACTTAATGTCATGGACTAATGTTATGTAGTCAATTACTAGGAACTTGGAAGCATTGAAATGTTGTTTCGTTCGGTATCACTAATAGCTATTATGGTCAATAATTACAAGGTATAGCTAATCATTTGTAATTAGACATATATACAGTAGGATTCCAACTCAATGATGTGACAGATAAGCTCTTGCAAGGAAGCTAAAATGTACTTTGTTCAATAGAAGATGCTGAAGAGGACGGTAAACTTGTTCATTTCTTCCTAGTTTGCTTCTAAAGCTCCTTAAATTTT